ATCGGGACACAATCATAATCAGCATCATCAACATCAACATCATCATACTCATCATCGGGACACCATCATCGTCATCATCATGATCATCAACATAATCATCATGATCATCATCATCCTCATCATCGGGACACCCTCAGCATCAGCATCAGCATCATCATCGTCGTCATCATCATCGACATCATCATCATCATCATCATCATCATCATCATCATCATCATCATCATCATCATCATCATCGGGACACCATCATCATCATATCATCATCATCATCGTCCTCATCATCATCAGCATCATCATCATCAGCATCACCATCATCATCATCATCAGCATCAACATCAGCATCATCAACAGCATCATCATCAGCATCACCATCATCATCATCATAACCATCATCATCATCATCATCTCATCATCAACATCAACATCAACATCAACATCAACATCAACATCAACATCATCATCATCATCATCATCATCATCATCATCATCATCATCATCATCGCGGGACACCGCGGGACACCGGCGGGACACCGCGGGGCACCGCGGGACACCGCGAGACACCGCGGGAAACCGGCGGGACACCGCGGGCCCCCGGCCGCCCGGAAGGGAGTCATTTGGGCCGGCTGCGCCTCAGCCACACGGGACACCAGCGGGACACCGGCGGGACACCGCGGGCCCCCGGCCGCCCGGAAGGGAGTCATTTGGTCCGGCCGCGCCTCAGCCACAGGAGAGTTTCTCTCGCCCGCCCACGCAGCTTCGCCTCGCCCGCACGGCACGCACGAACACGAAACCGAAATCGATTTCCCGGTAGGGGGGCTCTCCGTTCCACTTCGATCTCACCCCCTCACCTCCGATATATATATATATATATATATATATATATGTGTGTATATATATATATATATATATGCGTGCATACATGTATGTACATGTGCATGCATGCTTACACATACACACATGTACGTACGCATGTGTGAAAGTATGCTCGTAAGTATATGCATGTGTATGCATGTATGTATGCGTGTATGTATGTATGTATGGATGTATGTTGTATGTATGTATGCAGGTATGTTGGTATGCATGCATGCCTGCTTGTCTGCCTGCATGCATGCACGCATGTATGTATGTATGCATGCATGCATGTATGTACGCGTGTATGTGTGTATGTGTGTATGTGTGTCTGTGCGTATGCATGTATGTGTATGTAAGTACATGTGTATATGTGTACGTCTGTATGTGTGCGTGTATGTATGCCTGCCTGCATGTATGCCTGTAGGTATGTATGTGTGTGGGCGTCTGCATGTATACATGTATGGATGTATGTATGTATGTGTGTATGCATGCGTGTATGCATGTACGTACGTATGTACGTACGTACGCATGTATGTATGTATGTATTTCTGCATGTATGCATGTATGTCTGCATGTATGTATGTATGTATGTATGAATGGATGGATGGATGGATGTATAGATGCATGGATGCATGTATGCATGGATGCACGTATGTATGCAAACATATATATATATATATACTAGAACCACGCGCGCGCTTCGCGCGCGCTTAGGTTCTGTCGAGTCACAGACCCAGGAATCGTTGCGAGAAGAAATTGGTGACGCGAAGCGTCTTGGAGGCGTCCTTGGACGTCTGGGGTCTCCTGGGGCCTCTTGAGGGGCCTCCTTGGGGCCTTCTTGGGCTCCATCTGGAAGCCAAGATGGATGCAACAAGAGGGTGCTTGTGCTCTCCGTGAGCTATCCTCTGGTTTTCATTCCCCTGGAGAGGAGAAGGAGGAGGAGGAGGAGGAGGAGGAGGAGGAGGAGGAGGAGGAACATGCAGAGGAGGGAGGAGGAGGAAGGAGAGGAGATGTTGGGGCGCTCTTGGGGCCCTCTTGGGCTCTCTTGGGGCTCGTCGGGGCCCTCGTGGGGCCACCTTGGGCTCCTCTCGGAGCTCCAAGAGGAGCCCACAGAGGGGCCCAACATCGGTCACGCGAGAGCTCTTTCGCGTGACCGATGTTGGGGCCCTCTTGGGGCCCTATTGGGCCTCCTTGGGCCCTCTTGGGGTCTCGACGGGGCCCTCGTGGGGCCATCTTGGGCTCCTCTCGGAGCACCAAGAGGTGCCCAAAGAAGGGGCCCAACATCGGTCACGCGAGAGCTCGTCCGCGTGACCGATGTTGGGGCCATCTTGGGGTTCCTTGGGCCTCCTTGGGCCCACGTGGGGCTCCCTCGGGGCCCTCGTGGGGCCATCTTGGGCCCCTCTTGGAGCTCCAAGAGGAGCCCAAAGAGGGGCTCAACATCGGTCACGCGAGGGCTCTTCCGCGTGACCTATGCTGGGGCTCTCTTGGGTCCCTCTTGGGCCTGCTTGGGTCCTCTTGGGGTCTCGTCGGGGCCCTCGTGGGGCCATCTTTGGCTCCTCTCGGAGCTCCAAGAGGAGCCCACAGAGGGGCCCAACATCGGTCACGCGAGAGCTCTTCCGCGTGACCGATGTTGGGGCTCTCTTGGGGCTCTCTTGGGTCCCTCTTGGGCCTCCTTGGGCCCACGTGGGGTTCCCTCTGGGCCCCCTCTTGGGCCCGTCTTGGGGCCCTCTTGGGCCATCTTGGGCGCCTCTTGGGCCGTCTTGGGGCCCTCTTGGGCTGTCCTGGGGCCCTCTTGGAAGCTTCTTGGGCCGTCTTGGGGCGGTCTTGGGCGCCTCTTGGGCCGTCCTGTAACGTCGGAAAACCCAAAAGACAACTTTGTTGAAAATGTACGTTTTACGAAGGGAATGGGCCAATTTTTGCGTCTAGGGGCCCTCTTGGGACGCATGTTGGAGGCTTCTTGGGGCCTCTTGGGGGCGTCCTTGGACGTCTGGGGTCTCCTGGGGCCTCTTGAGGGGCCTCCTGGGGGCCTCCTGGCGGCCTCTTGGGGCGGAAGGCTCGAGCTTGCGGTTCGTGGTCCCCCTCTGGGCCCCCTCTTGGGCCCGTCTTGGGGCCCTCTTGGGCCATCTTGGGCGCCTCTTGGGCCGTCTTGGGGCCCTCTTGGGCTGTCCTGGGGCCCTCTGGGAAACTTCTTGGGCGGTCTTGGGGCGGTCTTGGGCGCCTCTTGGGCCGTCCTGTAACGTCGGAAAGCCCAAAAGGCGACTTTGTTAAAAATGTACGTTTTACGAAGGGAATGGGCCAATTCTTGCGTCTAGGGGCCCTCTTGGGACGCATGTTGGAGGCTTCTTGGAGCCTCTTGGGGGCGTCCTTGGACGTCTGGGGTCTCCTGGGGCCTCTTGAGGGGCCTCCTGGGGGCCTCCTGGCGGCCTCTTGGGGCGGAAGGCTCGAGCTTGCGGTTCGTGGTCCCCCTCTGGGCCCCCTCTTGGGCCCGTCTTGGGGCCCTCTTGGGCCATCTTGGGCGCCTCTTGGGCCGTCTTGGGGCCCTCTTGGGCTGTCCTGGGGCCCTCTTGGAAGCTTCTTGGGCCGTCTTGGGGCGGTCTTGGGCGCCTCTTGGGCCGTCCTGTAACGTCGGAAAGCCCAAAAGACAACTTTGTTGAAAATGTACGTTTTACGAAGGGAATGGGCCAATTTTTGCGTCTAGGGGCCCTCTTGGGACGCATGTTGGAGGCTTCTTGGGGCCTCTTGGGGGCGTCCTTGGACGTCTGGAGGCCATCTTCAGCATCTCGGAGCCCTCTTGGAGGCCTCTTGGAAGTTTCTTGGGCCGTCTTGGGCGCTCCTGGGGCCGTCTTGTCTGACCGGGGAGGCCTCCGGCAAGCCCCGACGAGCCTCCGGGCCCCCCGGGGTGCACATTTGTGGTCGAGGTCCCGGCCCCGGGCCCCCGGACCCGGTGCGCCGTTATATGTGTATATATATATATATATATATATATATATATATAATATATATATATATGTACACATATATGTATACATATGTATGTATGTATGTATGTATGTATCTTGGATCCGAAGGGGCCTCGACTCCACTCTCCGCGCCTCATCGCGCTCGGCCAGGGACCCAGACGGTCGACCCAAGAATGGTCGGCACGGCGGCGTTCCGGGCTGCGATCTGAGGGAGTCGAGGCCGCTCGATCCTTGCGGGTCTTGCAAGGTAAAAACAGTCGCCAAGGGTGGTAGCGGGCGGGCAACAGCGACTGCCATGCAAACTCTTCACGGCCATGCCCAACTCCGCACCCCTGGTCTCCCACCCCCGACTTATCTACCGCAAGCGTTTCAAGTGCGGTTGGGGGGGGCGGGGTTGCGGAAGCACTTGGGACAGGGGGCCTCCAGAGGGCCCCATCCTTTTTCCACATGGCCATAGCGCTTTGGCTTGGATCCGAGGGGGCCTCGACTGCACTCTCCGCGCCTCATCGCGCTCGGCCAGGGACCCAGACGGTCGACCCAGGAATGGTCGGCACGGCGGCGTTCCGGGCTGCGATCTGAGGGAGTCGAGGCCGTTCGATCCTTTCCACCCGCCCCACCCTGGCTATTCAGCCGAATTCTTCTCTCTGCGAGAGACAACGGAAGACGCATAATGACTGATCCACCTCTAGTGTCGCCTCTGACAGCACACTGCAAGGATGGCGGCACTGTCTTTGATATACATATATTCATATATGGTCTGATGAAGCTCCAACGCCCTCGCAACATCACGCGCCAAGATTCTTTGATGATAGATATTTGGCGCGGCCTTCCCCGACGAAGGCTGTACGGAGTGAGGCGTGCGCGGCGACAGTCACGCCTGCAGCGGCACGCCCAAGAGCGGCGTGAAAGGCTGGGAGCGTGCCGCTCCAAAGCTGGCAGGGCCCAGCGACAGTGCATCATTGCGCTCGAGCCCCCAGCTGGCCATTGCGGCGGCGACTCGAGCAGGCATCGGAGGCGTTGGCTCGGCACTTCGAGGCGTGACCACACCGAGGGGAGGCGCCATGCCCTGGGATACTGGCGGCGCGAGCGCGAAAAATGTTGCACTCCTGACAGAGTGTCATTCGCCTGCCTTGCGGGGCTCCGATGCTCCAGAGATACTAAAGATAATCTTGAAGGCAAGGATTCGCCTTACGTGACTGGCAAAGAGAAGCGCATAGCATTCGAAAGCTCGACAAACCGCTGGCGTGCGCGCTGGTACTTGCGCCGTATTCCAGTGTTCGCAAGCGCGCGGCCAGACGGCCGAGAGCAGCTCGGGTAGCACGCCTCTCCCTTGGCGAAGTGCGCCTACCCGTTGGGCAAGCGGGACGGCGCACCAGCAGGGTTCTTTGCCGATGAGGTGAAGGCAAAGACCGCTTGGATCCGAGCGCCAGCTCAAGGATGGGAGAAGGCACGCACTACCTTGTTGAGCTGCTGGCTCGAAGACCGGCGCATGGCCAGAGCACCGATATTCACCATGCTGTCGAGCAGGTGAAGGAAGACGCACATCTGTCGTGAGACTGACCGGGCCCGCCAACGCAGGGCCGCCTCGCACTCAAACACATCGATGTGCTTGGCCTGGTCTTGCAAACGAGCTGGCGTGCGACCTCCACTTCCAAATGCCAGCGCTGATCTCATGCCGTCGGAACATCTTGCCAGACGCCCTGCATCAGCAACCACTCGGAGGCCGGCGCCCGAGTGGCGGCACGTCATCTCCAGCGAGGCCACCACCCTCTGGTGCTCCAGGAAGGGCCGGGAGCACCACTTGCCGCGCTGCTCCAGCTCTGCCAGCAGGACGGCCGCGTGGCAGGGCTCGCCTGAGGGGCAGCGGCAGAGCAGCCGAGCCCCTTCCAGCTCTCCCAGCTGGTCTGGGACCTCGGGCTGGGAGCGCAGCCAGCCTCCGAACAGCGCCACGGCGTCGCCGGCCGGCCGCCCCGGCACCACGGGGCACGGGTTACCCCGCTTGGAGGGGCCGAGCCCCCAGCGGCGCGAGCCGCGGCCGACGTAGACGGCGCGCGCCTCCTGCCCAGCGCCCGCCGCGGGCGCGCGGCCAGCCTCCTCCACCAGGTGCGGGTTCTCCTCGCACACGGCCTCGCGCCCACACCGCAGCGTCTCCACGTCGCCGGCCCAGAGCCTGCGGCCCATCGATCAGCTCCCCGAGCTCTCGTGGAGGCTCCGCAGGGACGGCACTGCCACCAGCGTCGAGTGGTGCACCGCCCAGTGGCTCAGCCACCAGGGCACGACCTCGCACTGAAACGAGTTCCCCACGAGCGACCGCCGCAGGACCTCGAGGCGCTCGGGGTCGCTTTTGGCGGAGGAGCTGCTCATGCAAGGCACGGTGCGGCCCCGCCTGGAGCCCATCAGCACCTCGCGCCCTACTGCCAGCGGCGGCTCCTTCCGCACATCCGCCCAATGCAGGCAGAAGCAGTCCTGAAACTGGTAGGGCGGGCCTGCGTAGCTCGCTGCCGTCCAGCGCGCCACCCCCTTCGGCGTGCACTGGCGGAGCCCCGCGGGCCGCGGCCGAGGCGAGCTCCGCAGCGCCCAGCGCGCGAAGGTCGGCAGGCGGCCACCTGCGGCGGCCCCCGGCCAAGAGGCCCCGCGCGGCGGCCACTCCGAGACGGGCGGCAGCTCTGTCGCCAGCCGCACTCGGCACGCCCGCGGCTGGGCCCCATCCGCCGCCGCCTTCATCTCGGCCGACATCTCGAAGGCGGGCAGCCGGCCCCACGACAGCCAGTACAGCAGCGGGCGGCGGACCCAGCATGGGTCCGCGGCGTCGAGGGACACCGGCACTCGGCCGAACATCTTGTTCAAGGCCAGGACCTCGTCCTCTGCCATGGGCGCCGCGTTCTCCCTGAGGAAGTCTACTGCGGCCTCGGGCAGCTCGCGCTTCAGCCCCTCGATGAGCCCCCACATGTGGCCCACCAACTGCGACCTCGGGTCCGCGCTCCCCTCACGGGCCACGTTCACCACCGTGAAGCCCTGGCAGGGGAACCCATTGATCACGATCACCTTCGTGATGCGGCCGTGGCCCCTCAGGAGGCCTGCCAGATGCGCAGGATCTGCAGCCGTGCCGCCCCCCAGGTGCACGGTGCTGGGGTACGCCCGCCGAGCCACGCGCACGGCCTTGGCACCCACCTCGGACGACAGGTGCGCCGCCGGGAACAGCCCCGGGATCTCGAAGGCCTGGCGCGCCCCGTCGATCTCCGAGAAGACGGAGATCAGCGCGACGCCCTCCTCGCAGGCTGGGTTGAGGGCCCGCGGGCCCCTAGCTCCAAGGGCGCGGCCTTTGTCCGACAGCCCCTGCAGGGGGTAGACGATCGCCTCCGCGGCCTCCGAGGCGTCGGACGCAGTCGCGAGGTGGTCGACGGTCAGCCGCATGTCCGCCACGCTGAGCGGCGCAAGCGCGGCCGCGGTCAGCAGGTCCTCGGCGACGCCCGGGGTGATGAGCCAGCCCGAGCGGCCCGACGCCAGCCACTTCCAAGCGTTCACGAAGGCGGCGGCGAGCGGTCTCCGATAGCACTGCACGCGAACCCAGCGCCCCAGCAGGATCTGCGCCAGCCGCCGCCTCGGGCGCCTCTCCCCCAGGAACCACAGCGTCAGGCTCACGAGCTCCGTGACGTAGCTCAGCGGCGGCCGCTGCACACCAGCCTCGCCATCAACGAGGCCCCCCAAACTGTAAACCTGCTGGGCACGGTGGACATCCTTGCCCGGCGATCCGGGGGACTCAGCCTCCTCGTAGCCGGCCGACGCCCGGCTCAGCAGCACGGGGATGGTCCCCTTCAGCGCGACGGCCTCTTCACTCGGCACGATCTCCGCGATCTCGAGGTTGTCGACGTAGACGAAACAACATCGCGACGCCGCTTGCCTGGGCCTCCGCGGGCAGGCGGCGGGCGCGCACCACCTCGGCCGCAGGCGGCAGCCCGCGGGGGGCTGAGGCCGACCGCCTCAGCATGTTGCGGTGGAGGTGCGCCGTCACCCCGACCGCGCTGATCCAGCCCACGCCGATGACTCTCGATGCGATGCCGGCCAGCCCGTCGCCGCTGCCGCCCACCCGCCGCCGCGGCCCCGGCGGCCCCGGCGCCATGTGGGGCCACCAGGCGGGGGGCGCCCTGAAGACGCAGGAGAACGCGCTGCGGCCCGCCCCGCTCCAGAGCAGCTGCTCCCCTGGAGCCAGCACCAGCCCGTTCAGCTGCCCCATCGTCGGCATGACGGGGGTTCTCCCCGCGATGACGCGCTGGCACGCGCTCGCGGGGATCAGGTTGACGATGAGCCGCAGGAAAGGCCGCTCCTCGCCGTCGCCGCAGCGGGCCGGCGCCACGTGCACCTTAGCCACGCCGAAGGCCTCGTCGATCAAGGGGACCTCGTCTCTGGTCGCGATCTCGCCCTCGTCGAACGGGACGACCACCCCGCGAGCAAACAGGGCACTCACCACCTGCTCCCATTCCTGCGCCGTCGCCCGGACGCGCGCCGAGGTCGGCGCGGGGTGCCTCTGCGCCGGCGGTGGGAGGGCCAGGGCGGGGTCCAGCAGCGCCGCCCACGCAAAGTCCGCGGCGGGATCCGCGGCCTCGATGGAGGCGGCTACCCCCACAGGCGGCAGGCCGCCCTCGATCTGCTCGAGCGCGATCTTGCTCGGCGTGGAGACCTCCGAGCCGTCGTACGCGATGGTCCAGTCCTTCAGCTTCTCTGACCAGTCGAGGGTCCTGGCCATGGCGGGCTCGAGCGCGACGCTCGAGTAGATGTGCCGCGCGATCCCGAGGAGAGCCGAGCGCTGGGCCGCATTCGGCTCCAGCCCGCAGACGACGGCCCACTCCAGCTGGCGGTAGCCGGCCTCCCAGTACATAGCCATCATGATTACCCTCGAGCGAGACTGCAGCGAGGCCAGGTCGCCTGGGTCAATCTTCTCCTCTTCAAGATCGGGACAGGGCAGCGTTTGCAGATCACGCCGCAGCCACCCCCGTCTAGTTGGCCGATGCCCGCTGTGCATGAACTTGACCACGTAGACCCCAAGCGACCCTGGGAACTCCCGCATCAGCTCCTCGAGGATCGGGCCCGCGTCCAGCGGGCGGCGGAAGGACTCGGCAGCAGCCCTAGCCTTCTCCTGCCACGTGCGGAAGAGCACCGCCAGGGGGGCGCCCGCCTCTGGCCAAGCTGCCCCAGCGCGCGCCGTCTCCCGGCCTGCTGCTAGCGAATCAACTGGCGGCTCTGGCTCGCCCATGCAGCCAGCGCGAGCTCCCGCTGGGCCCAGAGGGTTCGCCTCCCCGCGTGCATCATCACCTGAGAGCGCCCAGTCTCCAGTGCTAGCGGCCCTTGCCGCAGCCCTTCCAGGGCGCCGGCCGACCGCGGCCAGGAAGTCCCCCTCTCGGCGCCCGACGCCCGCGGCGCTTGCCCCTGCCCTTCGGGCTGCCGCCCCGCACCTGGGGAGCCCCCCCGCCGACCTGCGCTGCCGGCTGGTCCTGACGAAAGCCGCGGACTCCGGGAGCGCCCAGCAGCTCCGCGCGGCCCGGCGCCGCCGCAGCACCAGAGCGGGGGCTGTCCCCGCGGGGCGTTCTCGGGGGGGGCGGCGAGGGGGGCCGCCCCCCGGCGCCGAAGGGCGCTCGGGCGGGGGACCTCGAGGCCCCGCGAGCGGCTGCGGGACCCTCCGGCCCGCTGGCAGCCTGGCCCGCGGCCGCCGCGGCCCCGCCGGGGCGGGCTCCGCCACGCCTCGTCGCGAAGCAGGCCCGACCGCGGCGAGCGGGGTCGCTCCCGCGCCCGCGGCTCCGCCCTGGAGAGGACCCTCGGGGCGGCTCCGCAGCCGCCGTCTCCTCGGGTCAGCGGCCGGGGGCTGCCCCAGGCGCGGACCTCCTCCAGTCGCCGGCCGCCGCAGCGTCGCTGACCTCCGCGCCGACTCCTGCTCGTCGCGGGAGGCGAGCGTCGGGCGGATGCCCTCGACCGCCTCCAGCTCGTTGGCGATGTACCAGCTGCCGTCGTTCAGCGCCATCTCCAGCGCCCTGAACCGCTGCCTCCGCGTGTCCGCGACCGACGCCAGCGAGCCGTCCTCGAGCAGGTCCATCGCAGCGGCAAGCGCCTGGAGGTCGCGCACCGTCCGCTCCCCGACCGTGTGGAACGGGTGGTGGCCGAAGGCCAAGGCCTGGAGGTAGGCCCTGGTGCGAGGACACATCGTCTGTCCGGCCGCCCCATCCCGCAGGCCCATGACACGCGTGATCTGGGCAATCGCTTCGTTGCACAGCGTGCCTGGGCGCCCGTCGGCCACCGCCAGAACGGCGTTGCCGCGGGAGGGGCCGACGCGAAAATCCAGCTGGTCGCCGCCGGCCCGCTCCTCGCCATCGCTTCGCGACTGCTCGTGACGGCCTCGGCCAGCCACCAGCGGGCGAGCCGCAGGGCCGGCCGCCTCCGCAGCAGCCGCAGCCGCCGCGAACTCAGCCGCAGCCCCCGCGAGGCGGCCTCTCGCGGGCGCAGGGGCAGCGCCATCCCCTGGCCCACCGCCGCCTGGCGGTCGGAAGGTCAGCCGAACCCGCGGCTCGACCAAGCCCCGAGCCGACCGCAGGCGCAGCCAGTCGGCGTGCCTCTCGCCGCGCCCGCCCAGCCGCGGGGCCCTGCAGGCCGCGGCGCCGCCCGCACCACGGTGCAGGACCCCTGGCTGCCCGGCGCCTGGGGCGGGGAAGCTCGGGTCCAGCTCCAGGGCGTGGGCCGGCAGCGAGGCGCCCCGGAGGCTCACGGAGAGGTAGACCCCGTCAGGGCCTGGCGCGCGCGCCTCCACGACCTCGATCGAGCGCCGTGCCGTCCACCTCGCCCGTCGGGTCGTGCGTGGGCGTCTCCAGCACCGTGCCGGCCGTGAAGGCGTCGAGCTGCAGGGCCGGCGAGCCAATCCAGGAGACGTCCACCAGCCGCGCCAGCGCCACGGCGCCACCGCCGGCGGGCGCCGGCCCCGCAGCGGCCGCCACGCCGCCACCTCCGGCGCCAGCAGCACTCGCCCCTGGCAGCGCGAGGGGCCCAGGCGCCGGCGGCGCGTCAGGCGGCGGCCCCTCCTGGAGCAGGCAGCGCCGCCAGGGCCCCCACAAGGGCCGCGCCGGCCCCAGCCACGGCGCCGGGTGGCGCCCCAGGCGCATCGCCCCCCGGCGCGGCGGCAGGCGGGCCCGGCAGCGCTCCAGCCGCAGTCCCCAGCGGGGGGGCCCCAGGCAGCAACGCAGCGCCTCCGCCGCCAGGGGGAGCGGCCGCGCCGCGGGGGGGCAGCGCAGCGGCCCCCGCGCCAGTGCCACCTGCCGCGGCTCCCACGCCCCCTTGGGCGTGGCCACGCCTGCGGCCCGCCGTCGCTGCGCCTCGGCCTCCGCCGCGGCCGCGCCCACGGGCGCGTCCCCCGCCGCGCGCGATGCCGGGGCCTTGAGCTGCCGCCTTGGCCCTGCCCTTCGCCTTGGCCTTAGATTTGGGCGGCGTCCCCGACGACCTTGTCCGCCAGCCCTGCCAGCGCCGCCAGGAGCGCCGTCAAGTGGCGCGCATGCTCCAGCAACATCGCTCGCTCGCCCGGCGTCAGCTGGGCCCGCCCGGCCTGCTGCCGCGCCAGCGCCAGGAGGTAGCCCAGGTCGCACACCTCCCAGAGCTGGCCGTTCAGGGCCAGCGCCAGGGACTCGTTGGGGCCGAGCCGGCCCGAGCACCACCCGCCCGCAGCATCGCCCAGGCGGTCGCGGGGGCCAGCCGGGCGGAGGCCCGAGAGGTGCGGGGACTGCCTCCTGGATCAGCTCCCAGGCTGGCGGCGGCAGCCCGGAGCCAGGATCAAACATGCCCCACAGGGCCAGAAGCCTCAAGAGACTGAGCCACAACAGCGACTGCCATGCAAACTCTTCACGGCCATGCCCAACTCCGCACCCCTGATATCCCACCCCCGACTTATCTACCGCAAGCGTTTATAGATGTATGTATGTATATATGTATGTATGTATGTATGTATGTATGTATGTATGCATGCATGCATGCATGCATGCATGCATGCATGCATGCATGCAT